TTGGCATGTGCAGAAGAGGAAAGGATGTGGTATCGACTTTACCAGTTATCGATTCGTGACTCCAACCGAGAATTACAGCATTGATAATTGTCGTTTCTTTCCTTGCATGTGCGAACCCCATTTACTATTCTCTCCAACATAAGCAAAGCAGGACTGAAGGTTTTAGCTTGCCAGTACTCTATATATGGTAGCGAAAAAGTCTGGCAACAGCGTATTTTCTTTGAAACGAATTGTATTGTGATGTTTGTTTATTTTAAAACAACAGTTAATTTATTAATAATTTATTTAAATACTTATTTATTTTATAACACTATTATTCTAATTTATATATATATTTCGAATGTCTTTAAACTGTTCACTATTTATCTTCACTGTCCATATAATAACTGATACAGCGTTATTCTCCACCAATATTTATATACCAATTTAAAATTATGGTGAAGGTTCCAGATTTCTCCTCCGACAAACTAGTAATATCTCGTTATATTTGAAATAGACTAGAAACATTATCCCGTTGACTCCCGTTTAATTATGTATAATAATCGTTTTTATTTTAGCATTTTAATAAATTATAAATTTCTCTAAATCAGAGATTTTTTCTGACACTTCTTTAAACGATAAAAATTAAATGCCACAACACACACCCTACAAAAAAAAGTATATTTATGATTATACACAGTAAAATGTGTCAATTTCCATAGTAAATCCGATTTAAATAAAAACTGAACGGCACCACGAGATTATCTTTTAAAGACAAAAAAATCAAATAATCAGGTTTTACTACCTATTTTTGTCTTCTAAAAATTGAAGATCTTGTTGCAAGAAAGTGACAGCGCCCTTTTTGGTAAAATTTAGTTATTTTATGTACCTACTCTATGTAAAAAATTGATTGATGTAAGAAATAAGCAGCTGCGTTTATAAAAAATGGGAAAAACATTTTAATCTTTTTTAGACTTAACTGTTTGGTACAAGTCCGGACCTGCCCCCCTTGCATAAGAAAAAATAATGTTTTTTTTGCTTTTAAAACAAGTTTTGTACTTTATAAAGTGCAAAAAGTATCTTCTTTATAAATTTTTGATTTTTCCAATTTTATTTCTTTCAAACAATATATCACCAAGAAAGCAATTGTAAGTTACTATAAATATGTCATATACATGGGCGTCTTTTGGGGGGGGGGAAGGGGGGGCAGTTCCCCCCTGGCTTACAACGCGTAATGGCTGTATGTCACAATACTAAAGGGTTTTCCAATAAGAGGTGTTATTTTGATATTCAAAGGAAAACGCCATTTTTTGAGATAAATGATCGGATGTTTATTTCATTATAAAGAGGAAGGTATGCCGTTAATAATGGAAAATAACATCAGCCAAATGACCACCACGACCACGCCAGCAGGACCATATCCTTTTCATGAAATTTTCCATAACCAAATCGCAAAGTGGCTGCCCTATGTCCTCGATAGCCTCACGAATTCCATCTTTGAGGTCTTGAATCGACGCTGGGCTGTTGGCGTAGACCTTCTCTTTCACGTGGCCCCAAAGGAAGAAGTCGCAAGGTGTCAAATCACAAGATCTCGGTGGCCAATTGTGATCACCTCTCCGAGAGATAACACGGTCCGGAAACTTTTCCGGTAAAAGATCAATGGTTTCATTGCTTGTGTGGCACGTAGCGCCGTCTTGTTGAAAGTAAACGTTGTCCAGATCAATACCATCCAATTCCGGCCATAAAAAATCATTAATCATCTCTCGATAGCGCAATCCATTCACCGTAACTGGTGCTCCAGCCTCATTTTCGAAAAAGTAAGGTCCAATGACCCCGCCGGACCATAAACCGCACCAAACAGTCACACGTTGAGGATAGAGAGGCTTTTCAACAATAACTCTTGGGTTTTCCAAGCCCCAGATGCGACAATTTTGCTTGTTGACGAAGCCACCGAGGTGAAAATGGGCCTCATCACTCAAGATGATTTTTCGATGGAATTCCGGATCATTTTCATGCATTTCAAGGACCCAATCGGCAAAGACACGACGTTGTTGATGATCGGCCGGCTTGAGTTCTTGTTTTAACTGAACTTTATAGGCCTTAAGACCCAAATCTTTATGCAAAATACGGTGTAATGACGTTTTTGGAATGAGTAATTCCAAAGAACGACGAGGAATGGACAAACCTGGGTTTTCTTCAACACTTTCGGCTACAGCAGCAATATTCTCGGCTGTTCTTGAGCGACGTGCACGGGTTTTATTCTTCACATCACTAACTTGTCCCAACAGCTCGAATTTTTCCACCAATTTCTGTATTGCGGTCCGACAAGGTGCTTCACGACGACCCAAAAATGTTCGAGTTTTACGAACCGTCTCCGCCAAATTTTCACCATTTTTATAGTGAATTTTAATAATTTCAATGCGTTGTTGAAGCGTGTATCGTTCCATTTTTATTAATGGCGTAGTTTCTACTTGTCAAATGTCAAAACATGACAGCTCCAAAAGTGACATCTACCGAAATAGCGGGCTATTCAAAATAACACCTCTTATTGGAAAACCCTTTAAATTTAGCCCTAAATTAAGTTATTAATTTAGTACTAAATTTAGAATTAAAAATATTTTTTTCTCTTTATTACTAAATTAAGTATAGGCGCACGTGCATTGACGTATTATTACGTGAAATTAGCACAATATTCTGTGTAAATGAGACAAGTGAATTAAAAGATATTTTTATTATGACTTTGACACTAGTTGACTTGACAACAACCAAATGCAGCAATGCTACTAAAAACCACGAAAAAACACAATAAAACCTACAAAATCAAACACAAGCGAAATTTGTTCAAGACGATAAAGCAATAACAGTTGCGGTGTTGTAAATTGAAAAAAAATCTAGCAAAAAAAAAAACAGTGTAAATTATATAAATTTTCAGTAGCAAAATGGAAATTAAATCAAATAAATAAATGGATAGCTGTAGAATATGAAGAAAAAACCTTTATTTTTATAATAAAAACAGTAATACTGGAAATAGTAGACATCAGAAAATTGAAAGGTTTTAAATAAACAATAAATTATTATTTTACAATGTTGTTCAACGTCCCTTAACTCTTAAATATTGAGCAAGGATTAGATTTTTGCCTATGATTATTCAATGTGGCTGAAATGCAATCTTGTGACTTATTGATAGGAAACCAATTTTAATCATTAATTTATATGGCTTCTTTCGAACCAAAAATAAAGAAAATATAATTTACAATCGCAAATTTACCAATTATTTTTGTTAATGCGTTTTGATACTACGTTATTATATAATGTTAAAGTTTTTATTTTCACATTATTTAACCTTTTCTTCAATGACAACTTATTAGGCTTAGGCAACATATCATACATTTTCTTGTAAATATTTTTGCCTGGCTATACTTTATTATTGATTTTTATTGATTATACTACTATTTTTATGGCTGCAGTAATAAAAATATATAATAATTAATTTTTTCACTTCTTTTATTTAATTTTTTTTTATATTATGTATGTCTCTGTATTCTTGTTCATATTTTTCTTCACACCTTTTGTCTTCTGTTTGTTTTTTAAACATAGGTGTTTTAAGTTTCTTGTTTTTTTTTTATTTTAGTTTTTGTCTTTTTTGTGGGGTAATTTTATTTATTAGAAGCTTGTGTTAATTTGTATTGCTCTTTTATTTTTCATTTTCTCTGTTTTTCAACAAATAAACATTTTAAATTTTTTCAAAATTTTGCCCCTCCCTATAGAATTGACGCCTATGGTCATATAATTTTATTTTTATTAAAACAGGCGGTTATTTTTTTAAAACTGTCCCTTCTTGCAGTTTCCTCGGTTTCGTATCAGTTTTTAAAAAAATCATATGCATACAGCCCACAGGGAGAACTATTGAATATGAAGAAACCCAACAAATGTTTTTGACGCTGTCTCTGGAATTTTTATTATTCTAAATGTTACTTGGTTGCTAGGAAACAATACACTTTTACTAAAAAATGAGGCAATGAAAGAGGAAATAACCGTTTAATATATTGCCCTCCTAAGCCAAAAAGCGGTATCTCAAAAAAATGTTTTTTCTGCTTTTTTTTAATTCAATGGATAGCTTAAAAAATACCGCATCAAATGAACTAAGAAAAATAGTATATCTCACTGAGAACAGTAAAAAAACCCAAAAAGAACTGCAGATCTCAACTTCTCTTGTGCTTTCTAAAAGGCTTAAAGGTAAGCCATTATTAAACTAAATGGCTACATATTTTTATACGCCACAAGAACTTCAAAAGTAATATTCAAGAACAAGAAATAATTTAAAGCAATCCAGTGGTACCTACCTAAATTAATTTTTTGACTCGTGGGAACGCGAAAACAACTTAAAGAAAATGTGCTTATCAACTGATATACCGCTTTTTGGCTTAAAAAGGCAGTATAGGTAAATAACTGGCCAAAATCCATAAATCACTTTGTACATTGTTAAAGAAAAAAGGAGATAATTTTTAATTCCTTAAGGGTGTCTACATCTGGTAATAGTACAGTGCTAATGATTCACCCTGTATGATTTTCATTCAAAATTAATACTTGGTACTTTTTGTTTTAAATTTATTTTTTTTTGCATTTGATTTTGTAAATTCATAAAAAATATCTGTAGTTAAAGGGTTAAATCACAAATGATGTTCGTTATTTTTCAATAATTTTTGTTATTAGTATTTTCAATTCAAAATAATACATTTATTTGTTAACATTAGGTAATTTTTTTAATTTTATTGTACTTATATAACATAAGTATAGTAAAAAAATAATAATTTTCGCTAATCAAAAATAATTCAACCAAACTCGGCGTCGCCTCGGTAATAAACTGTTCGCTCGCTCAAAAAAAAATAAAAAATACATAATTCGTCAATCGTAATACAATATCGTATTTGTTTAGTATTCCTCAGCCCTTTAAACTCGTACATGGCGGGCTAACCCGAGCTTTTAATTTGTACTAATCGGTGCCGACGGTAAAAAATTACCTGAAGAAGCATCAAGAGCAGAAGGAAAAATTGCAACAAATATCCGTGTGTCATGCTCCTACACAGCAATCGCCACATTACACTGCACATCTTGAACGGGTCGTCCTAAGCGTCGCAACGTCAACGTCAACAACGTCGGCATCTGATTATCAATCACGTTACGATAACGCGCGCGTTAATAATGCGTGTATAAATCAACCGGAATCGCCCATTCGGATCCTGATTCGACGGTCGAAAGACTACTGAAGGTGTACGCAGCCGGGAGGCACGGAGGCCCCTCTCAGCCTTCGGCACAGCATCCATCGGGACCAATGAGAATGACGCTGCAGGGCTTCCTTTGTGGCCGATGCTGGATTGCTGGTGGCAACCACTTGTTGCCTGCCGACGAGATCCGTTCTTTCTCAACGAAGTAAAGAGTACCCGGCCGTGAATTGTCTCGAATTTAGTGCATTTATTTCTTGTTTTCTTTCTTGTTCGGTTCGAAGTGGTTGAAGTTCGTAATCGACTTCAGTCACGAGATTGTAGACCGGAATTTCCTGCCGTTTATGAAAAATAATAAAAAAAACTCGAAAGGTTATGAAAAATAACGACGAAGACAACAGTACCTACAGTTGGGCGGAGAATCTTTATCGGTGCATCGTTAAATAATATGCAAACGAAATAAGTCGATAATTACTAGTCTAAAAACAATGTCTGTCATAAAATTAAAAACAACCACCTAGTGAAGCAAAATTCATACTATAAGACACTTATTTCTCGTTATAATAAAACCAGAACTATATACGTAACACATACCCCGTACTTCAGCAAATGTTTTGTTTCATTATCTATATTCTAGAGAATATTTATCGGATTTGTTGCTATTTATCCCATCTTAAACATAGGCGGGTAAAATTTAATTTCAAAAAGGGATAGCAAATATGTTTATTAATGAAAATTGTTGAATAATGAAGTTCATTACATTTTAATGAACAAATTACGTTTCAAATACCTATGTTATAATAACAAAGATGACAAATCATTACCACTATTAAAAACATATAAAATCTAATATAACATATTACAAGCAGAATCGTATTAAATGAGAAAAGTTCTCGAATACCCAAAGTAATTGATACTCATAGGTATTTTCATCCTAATAGGAATCATACTAGAAAAATTTCGAGTACTTTACATTTTTGGGGGATTTTTAGGATTGTGGCTCCTTTGGCCTCCTAAAAATAATACTAATTGATTAATTTTGAATTTTTAGAAATCTAAATTTTCTGCTTTGCTTCTTTCTTCTTGCTCCCGATTCTTCTGCTTTCTATTCTAATTCCTGACTTTCTATACCTCCTGTTTTTCTACCTGGTCTCCTCTTGCTGGTTTCCTCTACTTTCCCCTCTTACTCTGCCTTCTACTGAACTTTCCTTCCTGCTAAGTTTTCCTTCCTGCTATTAGATTCACACTTATATTTGATTTAAATAAAAAAAAATATTCTTTTTTTTTTATCTCTACGATATGAAATCTTCAACTTTAATATCTGTCTATTTTAACTTCAATATAATATTTTCTGACTTTTAAATTTCCAAACTAATAATTTTAAAAGCCTCTGACAATTTTCCCAAAATCTATTTATTTTCAAAATCTCACTACCATCGGCGTCACAACCCTAAGGAAATTCCGAATAACTTATCGACGCCAATGATACAGGATAGAAAACATAAGAACATGTGTCAAATGATGAAATCATGACAATATACGCGAGTATATACGTTTTAAGTTTTAAAATATATGACTGTTCTTTTGAGTATTCTCTAGATGTACGTCTACCTCTACCTAATACCTTTATTACTTTACTGTTGGGCGTACATATTAATGGTAAGTGCTAACTAATTGATAGAAGATAAGCTATACTCTCGTTTTTGTTTGTTACTGACTTACTATTACTAATTACTAATATTCATTCTTTCTAAACTTGGGTCACTAACTAGAAATATTTAAAATAGGTACTCCTCATACTCGTAACTTAGTATTATTCATATAAGTACTTATGCTTAGATAATTATTAGTTCTTTGTAAAATTACTCATGAGTACTTTAAAGCAGTACTTTGCCCAGCTCTGATTAAGGCGCGATCGTCCGAAGTCAGAACCCAGGTAGAATTTTAATGGGAAGTACCTAATTAACAATGATACTTCATCAGAATCAAAATCGTTTGAGGTTTTCTCAGCTACAATCATACTGCAAATTATTAGAAAATTTCTAAAAGTGAGAGTGTTATAGGTATTTTGAAGGGTCGTTGAGCAATTGTGAGTAGTAAAATAATTTGAGGCTGTAATCTTTTAATCCAAAACTGGTAAACGTTATAGGACGGTTCTACTCTACTAAAAATACAATCAACTATTCTCTTTACTGAAACAGTTTTCATTGTCCGAATTCTCTGCCAAATCAATGATAATCCTAGTTTTTATACATAGTTAAACCAAACTGTGTTACTTCTCTTTGATCCAAAATTTGGTAACTTCTTTGTTCCCTCATCCATTTCTTCCAATGTAACGATCGTAGTATTGTTTGCAGAATCTCCAGATCAACTCAATTCGATTGTTGGTAAATAGTAACAATGATATGTTCGTGGTTAGTGCAGGTTATTCATTATAATAATATAATAATATATCCCTTTTATTTTATATGATAGAAAACTACAACCAGATAACCTTTGATATAGGTCTAAATGAAGAGTAAGTAATGTCTATTGAAAATATTAAATATTTAGATACGTTTGATATAGATTCCCATCTCAGATATCAAGATCACATAAATTACGACATAAAAAAAGAAAGAATGAAAAAGCGGCAAAAACTCAATATCTGAGTAATATTCTAAGATCTAATTTGTCCAAGTGTAATCGGATTTAGCATTTTATTTAAAAGTTGCGACATCGTTTACCTTCTGAACACCTTTTACTTTAAATCAAATAAATAAACATCAGCCTTTCATCGAAGTTTTATTATTATTAGGTACACCAATTAACATACATATCTTTACATAGACCTCCGTAATTTTTAAATTAACGCTGTATCTATATTTCTGAAGTGATTTAAAGGATATTCTAACACACGTTTTACTTAAAATACTATAGCTAAGTAATGGTGTATTTAAAATTTTGCTTTTAAATTGAATTTTTGAGATAAAAATAAAAGTTTGTAAATATACTAATGTTCGCCCAGCGCTCGAAATTCGAACACAATAATTATTGAAAATTTGAGAAAGACATATATGAATTTGCATGTTTTATACAGAGCTTAAATTGTGCCCCCCCCCCTGCTTAAACGAGGTGAAATTAGAGAGATATTATGATATTTTTGCTATACCGAGATGCACTTACTTGACACGTAAGATAGAAGGCATTACTATCTTTAACATTTCTAATGAAAAGTAGTCATGTGATACCTCATTTGAAAGATATTTTAATTACCATTACGTCCATGCAAACAGTTTTGGTTTTTGTCTTTATAGAAATTACAAATTGGATTTTCGAGAAATCTTTCATTAAAATTTCTTTCTGCTTAGTGATAATTTTCGCCAACCCCCAGCAGAAATCATGATTGCAACAACTTTTTCTTTTAAATGACGAGTACGAACCATTTTTGTAATGAAACTTTCAATGCACTAGCTACTAAATGTCAGTTAATAGTGTCTTAATGTCATAAATAATATTTTTAAGATTCTTAAAATTTATGAAAAGCGTTTTCTTAGTAATACAAATAATAGTAAATACGAAGGTTACCAAGAATGTAACTTTCTTATTACTAATTACATCAATTGCCTCTGACCTTGCCTCTGACCTTGGACCAGAACTGGCTAATTATAACTACTGAAGTCTCTTAACGAAGATGTGAAAATTATTTATGCAAGGGACTTAGCTTGTCGAAACGAAACGAAATTATGACAAAACATAAAAGTCCAATGCATTGCAAATTCTTGTTACCGCCTCAGATTGACCGACAGGTTGACCGCTGTAGCTGTGGTGTTAGATATGTTGCAAAAGGAAGACCAGTCAGAAAATGCAAAAACTCTAGCAGAAGCCTGCCAATTTTTTACCAATACGCACAATACACTATCGGTACACATAAAATTTAAAATTGGTTCTAATTTAAATCCAGATTGCAAGAAAGTCGCAGACTCATTGGAGCTGGATGAGTTCCTATTCAGAAAAAACTTTTCAGAAGTGTTTAAAAATGACCCGGCACTTAGGAAAGCAAATTTTGAATTAAAGAAGAAAACATTTAAACCTGCAAGAATATCAGAAGCCGGGCCATCAGGAATATAGAGTCGGACAACTTCAGGAATGAGAACAGAAACCCGAGACAGAAATATACTCAATACCGGTGCAAATAGAAGTTTCAATGTCACAGGTAAAGTCATGCTGGTTATATAACTATATTTATTGGAAAACCATTACACCGAACCAGGTGGTTCTTGGCTGGATTACAGGAATATAAATTCCGCTTAAAAGATTACCTTTTCGGTCAAAGGAACCTAGAGTTAGCATACCTCCTACTCAATTTTAAATTAATGAGACTGCCATCCTGGAGCTCTTAGAAGTAGGCGCTATTAGGAAATGCCGTCCTAACCAGAATAAATTTTTGTAGTCTTATTTTTTAGTTAAAAAACAACGGAAAAAATAGTTATATCCTTAATTTAAAAAATATTAATTCTTTCATACAGTTATCGCACTTTAAAATGGGAAATTGCAGGACGGTATTAAAGCTAATAAACCAAAATTATTACCTAACAAACATCGATCTTAAAGACGCTTATTTTCTTGTTCCTATTTCAAAAAATACAAGAACACATTAAATGAGTTCAATTGTTTACCATTTGGTTTAAACATTGCACCTTTTATATTTACAAAATTACTTGTACTTACCAATAGCAAAAAATCTTAGAATAAGAGGAATTACTTGTGTTTCTTATTTAGACATTTTGATAATAGCTCCTACTAAACAGAAATGTCAATTGGATACAAATATTGCGTTAGATTTATTCTCAAGGCTAAGGTTCATAATAAATTTCAGAAAAAGTAGTTTAGAACCACAACAGTCTTTTAAATTTTTAGGGTATTTCATATAATACGACAAATATGACAATGGCCTTACATAATGATAAACTTGTTAACATTAAAAAACAAACCAATTAATTTCAAAATATATATGCACTATACGCAATTTTGCAAAATTAACTGGG